ATTCCAACTTAGTCTAGACGAAAAAAATAAAGTTCTCCCTTTAATTTACGTTGTGTCTAAGTTTCATAAAAACCCCTACAGCTTCCGTTTTATCGCTTCCGCCAATCATTCCAGTATCAAGCCTTTGAGTATACTTTTACGTCACATTCTTCAATTCTTCCGCCAGCATCTTCGTAACTATGCAGCTGCTGCACAGCGCAGATTACGCAAATGCCCCTTTCATAGCGTACGTAACTCTAGTGAGGTGCTACCTTTATCAGCGAGTACGGACCAGTTAATCACTTACACACAGCAGATTTTTCCACCCTTTTCACAAAACTCCCACATCACGTAATCCACGACGCCCTCAGCTATCTCTTTATCCTTTGTTTTCATAACTCTCAATCTGATGCCCTTCTCATTACCCCTAATAGGATCTTTTATTCTGAGTATTTTTGCCCCCGCTGCTCCGGAACCGTTTACTCACGTGCTGAAATAGATGGCATTCTCTGTTACGTTGTGCATGAGTCCTATGTACGTTTCGCTGGCTACTCCTTCAGCCAAGTGAAAGGTGCTCCCATGGGTGGTAATGCTAGTTCCGACATTGCCGACCTCACTTTATCAGTACTCGTATTTAAATACAGCAGACTTCCCACTAGTCCCCTGCTTCTCCTCCACCGTTATGTCGATGATATTTTAGTCCTCAACTGCCCGGACTTTCTTTCCTTTCGTCTAAGTATATGTAGCCAGGACCTAGACATAGACAGTACAGGTTCAGGTATCGCCGTCAATTATTTAGACCTGACCCTTCATAGCAATGCTCGCATTGCTTCTTCATTTTATTGTAAGACCGACCTTTTCACCTTCCCTATCATTAAATATTCCTCTCTTCGCAGTAACTTACAACTGTCTCTTCACAACGGTATTGTTTACACTCAGCTTAATAGATACTTGGTTATCGAATTCACTTGTCAAGGATTTATCACTGCCACTCGTCGTCTCTTCCTCCACTACTTGCATAAAGGATTTTCTTCTCACAATATTAATCGACTAGTCCACACATTTGTACACAGAAATAAATATCGGTTCTCTAAGTATTTCCCTCCTACTGCAGCCCTCCGTCGACATCTGATACATGCTGTCCTACAATTATACTACCCAACACACACGCATACCTCGTGTTGCTAACGTTCTATCCGCTACTTCTTCCCCTTGTTATTATAATAGTACTTCCAGCTATGTCGAATTCGAACGAACCAAGGCCAGTGGCGATAATGTTGCCTCGAACAACCACAAGGACCATAGAGCATCTATCGAGGTTCCGCTTTTATATTACAACCTTTTTATCCTTTTCAACTACTCTAAATTTTTTAATTAAATTTATAATTAAAAAATTCTGTTCCCTGTCTTCTTTTTCCTCTTCTTTTTTCTTCCTTCCTCCCTTACACTGCTTCCTTTTCCTTCTCTTCTCTGAACACCACGACCGTCATACTGACGAGGTCCAGTCGTGGTTTCGAGCTAAGACGTATATGAATTAATGGACCGAAATGTCTTACCTCATTCGTTCTTCCTTCCATTTTCTCCTGTTTTCTATCTTATACACCTCCCTCACTTTGACACCCAAGATCAACCTGGATGCTACAGTCGGCTTATTCCTAACTCTCACTTTTTGGAATTTTGAAGAGTGCAGTTTGCCCACTCGTTAATATATATGAGTCGCAATCCAGGACACCTTTGCACTGGCCAGGACATCGACTTAACCAAGAGTTGTTCAGCTGTTGCTTCATACGAGCTACAAAGCAAAATTCAGAGCAGAACTTGAGGGAAAACCGGCAGATGTGCAAAAACAAACTGGGCGGTCGAAAATCTGCTAAACGGTACATATACTGTTAAACGGAACAAACTGGATTTACAACAGATTGGCAAAATCTGTACCCAGTCAGGTAAAAATCAAATTGGACAGCAGTTGTCGCGAACGGGATTTTAGCCATGTCAGCAATATTGGTTGTATCCAAATTGTGCATTCCACGAAATTAATTTAGTCAAAACCTTTGCATGTTACTTTAGGTCAAAGTCTACTCTCGGAAATTTTCCCTAGCTTTCGTTTTTTTGCCTTTTGAAGATTGGGTTGGAAAAGTGCTTGGAATAAAGATGGCTAGATCTCAATAATTTACGCTTGTTGGGGAGACTAAACTTTATGCCAAAAGGAACGCACCGATCTTAAGGGAGAAAATACTATTGGCAACAATTAACTCGGTGCAGGCAGCATTTTCCTGAGCGTATTTGCTGTTCATGTGCAGGCCAACAAGCTTAAGGTGAGCCTGTAATTCGGCATGGACCCTGCGTACGGGTGCATCAGGCGTGTAAATGGCAAGACCGCAGTTACACCCTTCTGCAGGATAGAATCGCGCAAAAACGCTTGATTCCATCGGCAAGCCTGGTGCGTTGCAACCTATTTTTCGTACGGATTACAGTCAATTTCTGGAACTTCGTCAGCAAAAAATGTATGAAAAAATAAGTATTTATTACAAATTTTCAATTGGTGCATGACACATCTGACATTCTAGGTGTTTCAGGTTTGCAACGACTAGTCAATATTACCTAATGTGGACTTGAAATTAAATCCGATCAAAAAACTTGGCGATGGGTTCTTTCTGACTCAGCCGTTTTAAATATGAATTTAAAATCAGACCGCACCTCAGGCCCACTCTGTTTGTATTTGCGTTGATATATCCTTATTCATTTCAACTTAGTAGACTTTTTTTGAATTTGCAAAAGCACCACCAAAATTCCTGTATGAATGCCCCACCGAGCACCAGCTGCTTGCATACATTAGCACACCTGGCGAAGCATTACTTATTTGCTGTAGTGGCCCTTATTTTTTTGACATTAGAGAGAATGGAAGCATGTTCACTCATGGAGTTGCACTTAGAAAGGACTGATCCGTGCGTGGAAGCGCCAGGAATGACGAGGAATCACTTTTTAATCAGAGTAAGAAATTCTTCACGAGTTTTTGGATCATCGCGAAACACGCCCAGCATACAGCTTGTTGTCGTGATTGCGTTTATCTTCTGGATACCACGCATCACCATGCACATATGCCTGCAACTGTGTCTTTTTTTTTCAATTTTTGCGTTCTACACGAAGAAATCAGTAGCCTGAAAAATCGAAGAAACCTACAAATAGCTTGAAGTCGCATAACCTTTCTTTTCGTTTCCAACTCCACCGCCCCCTCCTTACCCCGTTTCCCTCAATTCCCGCCATCTTTTTTTGCTCCTCTCCCTCTCTCTCTCTCCTCCACTTCCGCTCAAAATCGTTGAGTAATAAATCCATTACTAAATCATGTCAAAAAAGTCTTTAGCAAAAGTACTCCGTAAAGAGATATTTTGCTTTCAATGGAACTAAATTTTACGGGTTTTGTATATTAAACACAATGAAAACGCATTTCGAAGCAAGATTAGGAGATGCATGTTTGCGTATGTATGTGTACTTGTTGGTGCGCGCGTGCGTGTGTGACGAAGCGGTTGACTTCAGAGCTACGAAAGTTGAGAAACTGAACCTCTGAAACTGTAGTTTTCGACTATCTGCAAAACCACAGATTAAAAATAAACTCACATACCTTCGTTTATGATCCATCATCGCTTGCTTACTTTGGAGCTCATATTATCTCAGGAGCCGAAAATAACATAATCTGGAGGACTTAGGGTCGTAGCCCACTGTATGGCAAAATTTGATTTCAAGCTATTTGTCCGCTCTGATCATTTTCAAAAAATTCAAGCTTGCAGCTTTTTGATCCCCAAGTTATAGCAGCAATACTAAAGTGTGGTTTGAGGTAACTGTTTAGATCTGTTCTATTACTAGTATTTCAGCTGTGTATAAGATTGGTTCTGTATAAGTAATGAAAAGAAAAATTATTAAAAAGTGGAACTGACAACTCTTTGATTCGACGGTCCGTCTCTAGTAACGCCTTCGGCTGCTTGGCAGCTGTGTCTTCCCGCTAGTCATCTCTTCTCGCCAAATGTTTCTTTCCGTTAATGTCTCTTCCCGTCAAGTGGTGCCTCTCCCACACTCGTTGCAAACTTGGCGTTGCCTAATCCTGCGCAGTGGACTTCATGACTCTCCGCAGACCTAGTTCTGCAGAGAGTCATGAAGTCCACTGCGTACTGTACAATTGATGTCTTTAAATGTCGAAGTCATAGTTTATGAATTGCGAGGCAAAGCCTTTGGGGAATCTTAAGTGTAAGCAACCTTTATGAAATTTTGGAAGAAAAATGAATTTAAATTGATACTTTTGGCGCTAAAAAAAACAACTTTTCAACAAGGAATACCACTTCAAAAAGTAACAAAGATGAACCTCTCAAAATCGGAAACAGCTCGCAATGTGCATAAGGAACGAGGAAGCATGAAAATTCTGTGAGTGATCAAAAATAAGCCCAACCGTAGCTGTGGGTAATTTCCCCGCAAATTTGGCCACTTAAATTTTTGTTGATGCTTCTCACAAATTCGGTTTCCATTGTGATTAATCAGATGAAAATCTTGACTTTGGCAAGTTCGACCCCCATAACAACTTGAATCCTCTGGGCGGAAATGGAGACAACAGTCAGGTTGAAATCAACCAGAATAAGAACTAACGATGCTTCAACGACAACGGCGACACCAGCAGGTTGAACCGCCTGCACCATTGCTGTAGCTATTTGCTTGGTCAGTCGCTCTTGAACTGCAATGTTTATGACCAGTGTTTGGAAAAAAGCAATGACAGACATTAAAAGTAATGTAAATACGACATTTTCTTTGGAAAATCATTGTCTTGCATTATTATTAGAGGAACTTACAGAACTGCTATGCTAACTTAAACACCGTTGCAGCATCTCTCACATCCACAGAATTAAAAAATTGGCCAACGCACGGGCTGCCCGTGCGAAGATGCGTTTTTTGCAGAGTTCCCCGCA